TTTAGTCTCCAAATGTCTTCTTTGAACATCCACTACTGAGATACCATTTTGGGTCGAAAACTATAAATCACACACGTATCACAAATTTAATTCTTAACCTTTGGTACCTAAACCATTTTGGATCCTCTAGCGTTAGTGTAAGGCATGTTGCCTTTTGAAAACCATTTTCTTGTAACATTTGTTTCATGATACTTTCTTGCATTACAAGAAGAAGAAGTGTGACTATATTTACTATAGTAAAAACAGTTAGGCGTGGTATGATTAGAGGTCCTATTTAGGAAAAAAACTCAAAAAATTTAGAATTAGTTTTCGGTTGATAGCCCAATTTGGCTTTATTGTAAGTGTCTTTTGGTTTTCCGAAGATGATGTTCAAGTTTTTCCTCCCTTTGATAAATTTACTAAGAGTGTTATTCAAGTCTTAAATATCAATTTATAAGATTTCTCATTCATCACACTTGATATATTTTTATTATAAATTTTTATAAAGGGTAAAGGGAGTGTCGTTATTTAAGAAAGTTTATTTTTCTTTAAGAAGTTATTTTTTCTTGATTAGGTTTTCATTTTTAGTTTCAAGAGTGGAAAAAGTCTTCATAGAGATGGAAAAAGTATCATTATAGGTAAATTTAGTTTCAACATTGTTTACCTCGTTTTCTTTGTGATTTTCCATTAGACACATACCAGCTTCTTGTTATTTTTTTTATACATCGCATGAGTCTTTGTACTTTTCATCCCATGCAATGTAAGCTATTTTTTATGCATCACATAAGTCTTTGTACTTTTCAGGTTTTCTTTGGTTCGGCTAATATTTTGGCTTTATGAGACCATTTTTTCCACACTAGAAGCATGTTGGAATGAAGGGTGATATTTCTTCAATTTGATTATGAAAGTTTGGAGGTTTTCTTAGTGCCTTATGAATATTTTGAATATTCAAACTAGAAGATTAAAGTGCTCATCACTTTTATTTTATAAACATTATTTTTCTGACTCATTGTCTTTATTATCTGCAAATTTTATTACAAGTCCCTTATTTTTCTTATTGCCCTATTTTGTTTAAGCAAGATGGTTCAATTTAATATCATGTTCTTGTAATTTACCAAACACAGTAGCCAAGTCCATGCTAGACAAATATTTAGATTTTGAAATGTGTCATTTTCTCATCATAAACGATTAAGTGTCCATTTTACGATATTTAACTTGCTAAGTGAGGCTTGTAGTTTTCTTCATGTACATACTTTCTTGTATTTCTTTTTTTTTTAAAAAAGCTATGATGAGTTAACATGTTAAAATACTCCAAACATACATGCATGTGATGTTTCTTGGTGTGATAACAATACAAACAGCATGCAATAACGAAAAACAATCCTTTTAATTTCTCAACATGTTGTATGATGTAAGTGATGAAAACATACAAAATTGTACATATTTTTATGCAAGAACAAGTAATGAAGAAACTTGAAGTCATGGACATGCATGTAGTTGCTTTGGATTTGTAGAGGAAAGTAGGAAAATTTTGATTTGGATGTGTGAAAAAGTAGGGACTTGTGGTTTCCTCAAGCTTTTGACATAATTTTTATAAGTCATAGAAGTGAAAATAGTGTTGTGCAATGATTTAAATAGTGAAATAAATTTTGAACTTTGTAATTAATGAACTCCAACCACCCTCCGCTAAGCGAACTTGTACCTCGCGAAACAAATATACGCGATATTGAGTTGTATTGTTGCACTGAATTTGCTAAGAAAGACTTGGCCCATGCTAAAGTCCGCTTAGCCAAGTACTTTGAATTTTGTCACTCACTAAGTTTCCAGAAGTGTGACTTAAAAAAAATTCTACTAAAAAATCTAAAACCAAATTAAAAAGTTTAAAAACGTAAAGGTGTTAGGTTGCCTCCCAATAAACTATTGTCTAACGTTACTAGCTTGACGCCCTTACTGTTATGTTATACCAAACATATTAAAACACACCTCATGATCTTTGATTCTTACTTTCACCTGCCATTTGTCAATGCACATTAGCATCCTTGCGGTTTTCATGAAGGATCTTCCCAAAATAAGTTGTATCATCGGATCTTCCTTGATATCCATCACTATGAAGTTTACGGGAAATAAGAATTTGTTAAGTTTGATCATAACATCTTTAATTATTCCCATTGGCTTCTTGGATATCGTTATGTTTGGTTATAATATGAGGTCATTAATTCTTTGAATCATATACAATGAATCAACTTAACACTTGCACTCGAATCTATTAATGCATTTCTACTTTTTTTTCATCATCTACAGGAATAGGCAATGTGGCTCTACCCAAATATTCTTCCTTCCAGGGTGGACTTTGATGAGATCCCTTTCAATCTCTATCTTTAACTGAAATTCTCGTTCCTTTAGAAGTTGTTATTTTAATATTTCCCAGGACTATGTTGGTTTCCTACATAATTGACTTCTTCATCTATTGGAGGGGAAAATCCATTAGGTTTATTGCCATTACATAGATCACGGAATGCAATATGCATGAGTTTTGGCGTCTCATTCATTTATTTCAATTTGTTGTTGAAGCTTGGATAAGTGTTTTGTCGACTCATCTACTATTTGTTGCAACAAATTATTATATGCTTATACTAGCGTTAATGATCATTGAATCTTCTATAGTTTTTGACATTAAGGAACCCTCAACATTAGCATCTAGCAATAACTTAGGTTGTTGTTTTAACCCATTCTTGAAGATATGTATTTGTGTGAGATCATCAAAGTCGTAGTTCAAGCATCTCCTCATCATGGATTTGTATCTCTCTCACGTTTCACATAGAGTTTCTATTGCGCTTTGAAAAAACACAACAATTATTGTTTTGGCTTCCCTGAATTTTTTATGAGGAAAGGATTTATCAAACAAATTTCCCTCCAATGAGTTCTTGTTGGTCATCATCTGTATTGGTTGATCAAGATACCATTCTTACCTTTTCCAATAAATGAATATGGAAAAAATCTCATGAATATTTCCTTTTCCTCAACTTTTGGAGCTTCGAGTGTACCAAACAACTCGTACAGTTTCGTTAGATGTGTATAAGGGTATTCTTGATCCAATTCAGATGCTGATCCAAACCTATTTTCACCTCGATCTTAAGGCTATGCATTTGTGGTCTAGATATATGAGCTAGTCGTCTTAGTCTGTTGTGGCAAGGCATGCCACTACCGTTGTTTTTTTTTTTTTTCTGTTGTTGCCATTGTTGTTCCTATTGGCATTTTCTTCACTACTACTATTATTGTTGTTGTTGTTATTTTACTATTATATGTCATGCTTTTTAGTTTTAAAATAGAAGACTCTTCTAAATATTTTCTTTTGGTTAATACTTTCTCTTTTCTTGTTTTGCTGTTTTTGTGTGTGCAGTTCGTTCTAATTCAGGAATAAACAAGAGTTGTTCTTCGGAAATCTTACCTCACATAAACAAATATCAACAGAACTAGCCAACACGTAGTAGGTTAGTAACTATAAACAAAAATATGCATAAATATAAATAGATAAAAACAAAATATTTAAATGATAAAATTATCACAACATCTTTAAAAACTAATGTCAATTCCGGACAACAATGTCATTTAGTTAATTCCACAATGATGAATATATTTTTGCCATCTTCACAAGGACTACTTGTGTTTCAAAAACTATCCAATAGTTTCTTTGATTTTAAGGATGGGTTGTCAAAATTTGTTTGTTTATTAAATTGAACTTTGGTGTCAATAGTTGAGAAATTTATTGGAGTTAGACTTCATCGACTTATTCTCATGTATGATCCTGAGTTTTCTAGTTCACTTAGCGGATTGGATTGTTTAACCTTGGAGTTGCTTGGCTCTTAAGTCACCTTGTGTCGCCATTTCTCGCTTTGTGCGACTCAGTTCTTCGCTTATCAAGTCTGTCTTCTTGGAAGGTGCTTGTTCTTACTTGGTGAAGTCTTTAAATATTGTTTGCGTGCTTACTTGATTCTTTTTACATGTACTTATTAGTGAAGACACATTTAAAAAATTCACACAAGTGTTATATCTAGTCTTAATGATAGATTGAGAGTTTTTTCATTAATGACTTGCAGATTAAGTTAATACATGCTTATGTATTTTACATATTTTTGTTGCTTATCATCTTTACCAAATCATAAATAAAAAAAACTTTCCACCCAAGGTCAGAGTATCAAATCTCAACCGGCTATTAGTTCACGTAAATGATATATAATCCTTCAACCACTCATAGATGAAACAACAGTAATCAGATATATACCACTTACAAGATGAGAAAATGCTATTATCATTCAATTCCTCCACGATTAAAAAAGTCATTTTTGAAATTTTTAAATAGACCAAGCTACATAATGTCAAACCATAATGATATCAGAGTGTATCATTTTCATTTCTTTTTTAAAAATAAAAATATTAAAATACTACTCAAACCATCAAATCGTGTAACACATTTATAATCAAATTGAGTTCAACTTTAGCAGCACAAGAACCAACTGGATCACCCCAATATGTATAGCAACTAGATCCCATCAATCCATTTTACACCTCTATTCATAATGTCACATGCTCATGCTTGCGCATATCAGCACTAGCAGTCAAACATTACTAGTCTTCTACTATAACTAAAACATGTTGAACCTTAGGGGTAATACAAATGTATCTACTTAGTTACCTAGGAATTAACTTTATTCCTAATAAACACCTTCCTCGATCACAAACAAAGTCAAGAAAAACATTTAAAAAAATCAACAAATTTATTAAATGATTCCAAATTCCAAAACCAATGTGCTATCTCTTTCTTTAATTTATTCACTTTCAAAAGCAAAGCAATCTCTCTCTCTCTCTCTCTCCACCACCGCCCTATTCCACCATTAACCTTCAAACCACTTTCATTTCATCACTAGTAAAACACAAACAATAACACTGAACGAGGTAACCTAGCAGTCACCTTCATCTTTTCTTTTTTCATATCTCTCTCTCTCTTTCTCTCTCACACACAAATGGACCAACCTCTTCATCATCTTCAAGAAACCAAACCCACCGCCATCACCGATGTTACCACCACTCCAAACGAAACACCTAACACCAGCACTGATAACAGCAACGACAGTAGCAACAACAACAACACTATTAAGAATCGTAAATGCAAAGGTAAAGGTGGACCTGATAACAACAAATTCAGATACCGTGGTGTTAGACAACGTAGTTGGGGTAAATGGGTTGCTGAAATTCGTGAGCCTCGTAAACGTACTCGTAAATGGCTTGGTACTTTCTCAACTGCTGAAGATGCTGCTAAAGCTTATGATCGTGCTGCTATTATTCTATACGGTTCTAGGGCTCAGCTGAATCTTCAAACCTCGGTTTCTTCTTCCAATTCTTCTTCTCTTAACTCTTCGTCTTCTTCGAACCGGAACTCTTCTTCTATTTCCACAAATACTCTCCGTCCTTTACTTCCTCGTCCTTCTGGTTTTCCTGTTTACAATAACCTTATACCTTTTGGTGTTTACAATAACTTCCATCATCATAATCATCATTATCATCATCAACAACAACCGGTTTTCGATAATAGCGTTAATCATCATCAACATCAACAACTGGTGCAAGTGCAACTTCAGCAGCAGCAGCAGCAATATAATCAACATCAGATTCAAGATTTTGAGCAACATGCAAGTGGCGGTTCGACTTCTGCTAGGTCAATTACCTCGTACCAGAATATTAATGGTGTTTATAATGACCAAGAACAACATGCAGAAGATGTTTTGAATCAGCAACAGATACAGAAGAATAATAATAATGTTGAGAATTGTGATGTGGTTGAGGGAATTATGAGCGGTTCAAATTTGGTGGGGTTATCAGCTTTTGATTCCTGTCAAAATATTAATACTAAAATGGATGGAACAGTGGTGGATCCAGATCCAGAAGGTGTTTGTGTTGGCTCTCCAAATTCTATGTGGCCTTTGACAAGTGATTTATGGGATTATAATGATCCTCTCTTCTTTGATTTTTGAGGAAATTTTTATTTATTTTTAGTTTTTGCAGGTTTATTTTTTTGAATTTTTTTGGTATTGTTTTGATTGGACTGAATTTAGTATACTCAATAAAAATGATTTTAATAAAATTATAGATTGATTCATGGTTGATACTAATATGAATATAGAGTGAGTTTATTATTATAAGTATTGTGGAAGTATTAATGTGAAGAAAAATAAACCCTAGTGATTCAGTTGCTGATGATGATGGTGCTTTCTTTTGCAAGGAATGAAAGAGGTAAGTATTCTTCCTTTTGTTTATTCTGATTCTGTGTTTTTTTATTTTATTTCTGTTATTCATCTGATTTTAGAGTTAATGTAAGTTCATCTTCCATGCATGGTTGATTAATTAGTTGTAGTCATTCTAGGGTTTTCTGATTTTTGAAATTTCAACTTTGACTGTTTAGAAATGACAGTTAAGAGATTACCACAGTTGATTTCTTGCCAAACTAAAAAAGCTGTACACCATGAATATTGTAAGTCATTTTCATACATACTAGAAGAGTTTTTTTATGTTTAAGTTTCTTAATATTTCAATCAAAAAGTTAATAAAATATAAATAAATTTTGTGTTAGTATTTAATCATGATAATTGTAACCAAAAAAAAATCAAGATAATTAAGTTGTATTCAATCAACATTTTAAAAGATTTTATGATGAAAAGTTTGGAGGTATTCAATTAAGACTTACACTTAACTTAAACAAATAGGTTACAATAAATTATTCTACTTCAAAAATAAATGTCACTCAAAATTATTTGTTCTAAAACAAATGTAGCTTTTAATTCCAATTACATTTTTAAATTATATTTTTCAATTGTATTTCTAATAAATTATTGTATTATTTGAATTGTATTTCTAATTAGTAGTCTATTTCTTTTGCATTGCATTAATGAGAGTTAAAATCAATAATCCATAAGAATAATTTTGTAATATTGCTATCTTTTCTTTTATATTTATTATATTTTTTTAATCTATATGAAAGTATCTGCTATAAAACTTATCTTGAGAAGAATGTAATGCCCTCTCTGATCTTTTTATTCATTGAATATTGCATTTGGTTCATTATACATTTTAGATATATTAAATGTTTAATAAAACTAAAAAATAAATTTCTTGATAGTAGTAATTAAAAAAACTAATATTTATATAATAAAATATTTTTTTTATTCTTTAATTTTATTTCGAAGTTTATTTTGGTCCTCATTTTAAAAGAGGTCAATATGATCTTTTAATACAGATGAGTTGGCAAAGAATAGTCATCTTTATCACCAAGGTCAATGAAATTCTTTAAAAAAGCCATTAAATATTGTCTTCAGCAAAAATCAAATCATGGTCTCCATAGTTACTTTGAAAGGTACGATACCACTAGACAATATCATAGTTGTTTATATATATATATATATATATATATATATATATATATATATATATATATATATATATATATATATATATATATATATATATATATATATATATATATATATATATATATATATATATATATATATATATATATATATATATATATATATATATATATATATATATATATATATATATATATATTTTCTAACAACTCAACTAAATGCATTTTATTAGATTCATACCTGATGCGTTTTACAACAAAATAAAAAGGAGATGAAAAACAATGTCATCTTCTCATTGCAGGCAACATCTCTATCTGAAAATGATTGGGTAGAATTGCAAATATGTGCAAATACTCTCTCTATCTCATAACATATGATTGGGTAGAATCGCAAATGATTTTCATCTCTTTCAACCCCAAAAACATCCATGAAATCCTCACCAAAAATATTATATTCCTAGAAAAAAAAGTTACAACCCTCTGTCTCAGCTATCCAACGCTTCAAACCCCACCCTATAATGATTTACAAATTGAAAGTTATGATCAAAACAATGGTAAGAGGCGTTACTAAACAGTTATTGTTTTTTCTAAAATTTTCAACATGATTTTCATCTTCTTCAACCCCAAAAACGTCCATAAAATCATCACAAAAAATATTTCATAGTTTTAACTCAATAATAAATATATCAATATCAACCACCAGTCATATTCATGTAATCACACCAATAAATTCACAATGTCATACCATACCATCAACATAATCGTCATCTCAAACCTTTAACATACAACAAATATAAAATTCAGCAACAATTCAAAATTCATTAACAACAATAGTCAATTGATATAGCCACAATAATTACAATTCATTCATCACAATCATGGTCACAAATTAACAACAATCATAATATGGCATAAGACTAACCTAAGAGGGTAAAGACCTCTCATTACTCTTTCATGATTAGACGCTCTTATAGAAATAGATCTCCTTACCTTAAAATTTTAAGCTCCAAATTTTTTAACAATGGTGGTCTTCTTCTTTTTCTTCTTAGCCTTGCCTCTTGCCCTATCTCTTCTTTTTTCAATTCTTTCACATACTTCCCCACTCTTTATTCTCTCTCCACCTTCTTTTATATATATATATATATATATATATATATATATATATATATATATATATATATATATATATATATATATATATATATATATATATATATATATATATATATATATATATATATATATATATATATATATATATATATATATATATATATATATATATATATATATATATATATATATATATATATATATATATATATATATATATATATATATATATATATATATATATATATATATATATATATATATATATATATATATATATATATATATATATATATATATATATATATATATATATATATATATATATATATATATATATATATATATATATATATATATATATATATATATATATATATATATATATATATATATATATATATATATATATATATATATATATATATATATATATATATATATATATATATATATATATATATGCTAACCAATAAAATAATAATAAAAACAATTTTATCTTTATATCATTACTTTTATTTTAAATAAATATAAACTAATTTATTATTACTACAGAATTAATTTAATTAAATCTAATAATAATACTATTAATTTCATTGTGTCCAACACCCCCTACTTCTCGTTAATTACTACCACACCTCTCACTTAAAATTCTAATATTCTAAAGATGTTACCTTATACCCAAGGCTCCCATACTACCTCAACGATTCAATACACATATAATACAATTAAATTACTCTATAGAATTAGATAATTCAAATGGGTGTTACAACTCTCCCTAACTTACCTGATACAAACAACTCCATATATACTTCTCACATCCGATTCTCCAGGTCCCAAGTCATATTTCCTCCAGCAGCTCCTCCCTAGACAACTTTCACAAGAGCAATCTTCTTTCCCCTTGGCTTCTTCAACTCTCAGTCCACAATCCTCAAGCCAATGCTTATACCATAAGGTTGTGCCTCACTTGCACATCATCCATTTGAATCACATGAGATAGATCAAAAATAAACTTTCAAAGTTGCGACACATGGAACACATCATGCAAATTTGAAAGATCGGGTGGCAAGGCCACTCTATAAGCTACAGTTTCAATTCTCTGAGAAATCTGAGACGGACCGATAAACTTAGGAGTAAGCTTATTTGATTTCACTGGACGCCCAACACCAGTCACATGATTAACTCTTAGGAACACATGATCACCTTTCCTAAATTCCAGATCTTTCATCCTCTTAGCATGGTACTTTTTTTGCCTACTTTGTGATGCTTTCATTTTATCTCAGATCAACTTCACCTTCTCAATAGTCTGCTGGATTATTTTCGATCCAAGTACAACACTCTTACCAAATTTATACCAACACAAAGGTGTCTTACACCTCCGGCCGTACAATGCTTCAAATAGTGTCATTCCAATGCTAGAATGAAAACTATTATTATAAACGTACTCGATCAATGGAAGATGATTATCCCAAGTACCTATTTGTTCGAGTACACAAGCCCTCAACAAGTCTTCCAATGACTAAATAGTTCTTTTTGTCTGACCATCAGTCTACGGATGATAAGCAGAACTCAACCTCATCTTGCTTCTTGCAAAAATCTCCAAAATCTGGATGTAAATTGTGGGTCTCTATCGGAAACTATACTCGACGGGACACCATGTAACTTCGCGATTACCCTGATATAAATCTCAGCCAAATTTTCTAACGAGAAATTGATATTAGTCGGAATAATAATCAATGGGGATTCTAGAAGAAGAGTAATAACATGGTGCGGTTCAAGAGTAGCCATTGACAACGGAGCAATGAAATTTGCGAGATTGTTCACTACTAGAAATTCAGTATTTAGCCTCGGTCATTTTCCGACACTATAAGGCAAAAAAACGCCGCTACTAGCCAATTAGGCTCGGCGTAGCGTCGGTGTCGGGGATAGGCTAAAACGATCGAAGCTAACATTTAGCTTTGGCCAAAAAGAGTCGTATCTACAGTAGCCTCGATTTAGCCGTGTCTACATTAGCCTCGGTTTTGCCATGTCTACATTAGTCTCGGTGAAGTCGTGTCAAAAAACAAAAAATAGCCTGGGCCTGACCGAGGCTAAAGTCAAACTCCATAGGCCAGCATAATATTTAGCCATGGTCCTGGTGGAGGCTAAAGGAACATTTTGCCTCGATTTATTCGAGGCTAAGTTTAAACTTTATAAGTCAACAAAATATTTAACTTTGGCCTAACCGAGGCTAAAGTCAAATTGTAAAAGTCGACAAAATTATCCCTGCTTTCCAATTGTATAATCTATACATGCTGACCATGTTTTCCAATAATGACAATTATGTCGTGTCGTGTTCTCCTTCAATCAATTTATCAATATCATAAATAATTTATCAAAACATATAACACATATGAAGTAAAAGTTATCAAAATATTACATATAGATTGAAAGGGCCAATCTGCACAAATGCAAGAGTCACAAAACTGCCTAGTTGAAAAAGTATTGTAAAAAAGA